CAGCGGTTATTTCCTCCACGACGGGCTGCTCTCCAGAAACCTCAGCCTGGGTCGATTCCTCCGCTGCGGGCTCTGGGGCAGCCTCTGCCGGCTTCGACGTGACCTCCTCCGAAACCTCATTGTGTTCAGGCTCTTCGACCGCCTTTTCGGTGGCCGCGACGGTGGCGCTCTCTACCGAAGACTCCGGTTGCTCCTCAGCTTTGACAGGGACGTCAGATTCAGGCTTCACCTCCTCGGTGACGGCGGGGGCAGCCGAGACCTCTTCCGCTTCCTTCGGTGCGGGCTGGCTCTCAGCAGGTGTTTCCGTCGCCTCGTCGGCCTTCTCTGTCGTAACGTCTTCGTGCTTGGAGTCGGTCTGCTCGGCGGATTCCGTTCCGTTGACCTCGGCTGCCGCGTCTCCATTGGTCGCAGGCTCCGTCACTTCAGCATCCTTCTTCTGTTCCGGCTCGGGGACCGACTCGGACTGCTTCTCCTCGACAACGGGTTCCTGTACGGGGGCAGCGTGTTCAGCGGCCCCATTGACGCCGTTTTCTTTCGGCGCGGCTTCCTCGGTCTCTGCGGTGACATCTTCGCTCGGTCCGACGGTGAGATAGTTGTTCACCAGACCTCCTTCCCCTGCAGCTAGAGTTGCAAGTAAGTTTGTCAGCTTCGGATGGGTTGCGCGATGATGCAACGTCGGGAGAAAAAAGGTTTAAGCGTACCATGTTTGACAGCCTCGTCGTGGAACCACGGGCCCGAAGCTCCCTCGCGGAATCTATATTGATATTGACCAGGCGACAGCTTCAACTCGCGGTAGAAGAGATACTCTGTCGATACCAATCCCTCCTCATCCGGTTCGGTATCCACCATCTTGGAGCTCAGTTCGAGGGGCTCCCATTGCGGCTCGGAGAAAGTGCCGGCCACGAAGACGGGATCGTCAATCGGACGACGGACAGAGATTGTGACGGTCTCACCAGCGGGGTGGGCCATTGTGGTCATAAAAAGTCGTAACAGTCGTTAAGATGCAACAGACGCAAACAGAGAAAAAAAGAGGAAGAAAAAACTGTAAGACGCTGGACTCGACTAGGCTTTTTTGTAGTTGTTGTGTTTTGGTGAGTCTTGGAATATTCAAGACCAGAACAGACGACGGGCCACCGCAAGGATATCAATGGACAGGAAAGCAATAATATACAGGCGATCAGACGGCAAACGGCGTGGTAGGACAAGACAACGCCCTCCCAAGGTGGAATTGAAAGGTGAAGAGGAGGAGTGAGGAGGTAAGGGAGGGGGAGGATGTCTTGGAGGGGCAGCGGAGAGATGAGGACGAGATTGGAGGAGGGGGGTGAGGAGATGGGAAGATGGGTATGATAAGAATGACTCTTTTGTTTGGGAGTACAAACAAACAGCGATGGATGATGAGAGAGGTAAAAGTAAAGACAAGATTGGGAAGAGGGAGGGGAAATTCTAATCAAAAGGTTCGAGAGGGAGAGATTGGGAGGAGGGGGAGGAGGAGGAGGAGGAAAAAAAATTACTGGTAGGACGGAGCAGCGCCGTACGGACAAGACAAGACAAGAATAGCACCAGTATTGGCACCAGCACCAGCACCCGTCAGTTACTTGCTTAGTTAGTAGTAGTATCGATTCCTTCCCAGTAAATACTGCGGTCCCCACGGAAGACCGATGGGGACCCAGGATGACTGTACTTTAGTGGACTATCTAGTCTACTCCTTCTAGTGTAAGGATGGCCGTTAATTAGCCCAGTCAGTTGGCGGGGCAGCTGCAGTTGTCACAGTGATTTCCAGCTTCCCCCTTCTGCCTAGTAATTTGTTTTTGTTTTTCTGTTTTTTTTATTTTTTGGTTGGTGAGTTTTTTAGTTTGAGGGCGCGCCATGATGCCATTGCCCGGGGACACGACCTTTGACTACGGGGATAGATTTTTTTTTTCCTCCTCACCCCCTCCTCAATGGGGGGAGGGGGGCAAAGGAAGTGGACTGGTGGGTGTGGATGACCACTACTGATAATGGAACAATCAATGAGGGAGGGGGAAACGGCAGACTTAGACCCAAGTTTAAACCTACGAGGTTGAGTTGCAAAGCATGATCAAGCCATATCAGACCGGAATGATTGCTGGAAAAGCCGAGGCGCAGGCGTTGGTCCGGCTCCAATGAGAGGCAGTTCGCATTGCAAGCGCCGCAGTCCGGAGAGGAAAAAAGAGAGGAATTATTGGCATCACATTCGCCGATCCTTTTCAAGCTAACGAGCGCCTGGAAGGAAAATGCGGTGAAGTGGTGTGGCTTTGAGGGCACCAATCATGCGAGGTTGAGAGAGAGAAGAAGAGAGACCTTGGGATGCAAGATAAGCCTGGACATGCACCTTTCACAAGCTCTCGCTCTTACTGTTACTTACATAGTGCACAAGTGGGTGAGGGTACATATTCTTCCTGGAACATCTAGATACTGCTAACTTACAATGCAGGTTTTGTGTGATGTAGGATGTAGTTTGAGCAGGATATTTTTTTTACCTTGCTGCAGATATCTCTCTTGTTCATCTTTCTGCCTCTGATTTTTCTCCCCTATGATGGTCCAGCGGAACGTTGGAACCAAAGAAAAAAAACAAAAGAAAAGAAAGTAAAAAAAAAAATTCCCTGATGGAGCGAGTGACTGGCCCGGCAGTGGAGAACTCTCACTACTGTAGAAACTAGGCTGAATTAGTGGCACCACCGGCACCTCCACCCGCAGCTTGCCGAAAAAAAAAAAAAAAGACCTTACCTTTCTTTGCTTTTCGCAGGGCAACTCGGCACCGGCGGGAAAGCGTCCCGAATCAGAAGACAGGGAAAATTCCATCATATCAACAACAACAATACTAGCAGTAATGACTTCGCTCTTTTCTGGTTAAGCCACCTACCAATTCACCAATAATTGAGGGCGGAACTATACTAAAGTACCTCCATCTGATCTACCCTGATGGTTACCTGGGGAATCAATAGATATTTAGATAGACAGACAGATAGATCCGATCGCATCGAATCCCGCTGCACAGCATATGTAGGTCAGTAAGTACCAATCCAGTCCAGTCCAGTCCCATTTATTTTGCACTTATTCGCCTCCGCAATCCCGGTGTTATGCTTTAGTCGCTGCATAACAAGAGACATCATCATACTTTTCCGGGTCGAAGGGTTGCTGTGTTGGCAAAGCGAAACCCGCAGCTCCTTCAGGTCAGGTGTATGATCTTCTCGTCCAGTAGAAGATTAGTATGTATCCTGCTGCAAGTTCAAGTTTCATTGCAACTACGAATATGAAAAAATCTTCTATCTTTCCCAAACTACAATTCGGTGGAAGGGAACTGATCTGATCTCAACTGAATAAATAATGAATACAATGAGTCATAAAACCAACTTTCTCCTTTTTCCTATTTTGTCCTGTTGGAACCCATCTCATCTCCCCCCTCCCCTATTGACCACCTTTGGCCCCCCATCAACTATGTACAGTAGTAGTATCTATCCATCTACTCCATCAAATAGACTCGTATTTCTCAGTCCCTGGTCCCCCTCCCCTTTTCCAATACCCTCCCCCCGCCTCGACTAAACCAGCCAGACAATTCCAATTCCAATTCCATTATAAATCGCAGTGGAGCCCCAAGTCTCCTCTTCCAGCCATGGAACCAGAACCAGATCACGGCAATTACCAACTGAGTCATGAGTGGGCGCAAAACAAACAGTTGCCGTCGTCATTTCTCACATTCTGACGTAGTTGGGTAACTTTTTTTTTTCCTGCATAGAAACCAGAGGATAGAGGTGATAATAAACAGTTCAACCAGCGAGTGAGAAAAATGTAGATAGTCTAGTTCGCAAACTCTATTTTATCTTTGCTTTGTATAATCTTTCCCCAGTCTAGATCCATGATTGGTTGGGGATTTCTCGGAGTCCGCTTGCCTCGTTCAATATCTGCGAGGAGCTCGAGCCTCGGGCAACGAATGAATGATATGATTGATGCCTTAGCGGCGCGGGATCGTCGCATGGATTCGTTCTCTTCTACAGCAACTACTTTGTAGTACGGACACTGTGCCGTGTGGACATTGTACACGGTTGGTATGCATATTCAGTGAGAAGCTCTGAATGAAAATAAACAAACATCCAGAATAGTAGTTTGCGGTCTAGTTTGCCTAGTACTACTATGGTAATCATAGTATCATGTGAATGACCCACGAGAGGATACCATTTGTGTATACTAAAAGAAGCACTACTTTGAGTTGTCATCCTGTTGATCTTGTTCAACGGCAGAGTCGGATTTGGCCAGTAGACTCATCAATGATGGCCTTCGATATGCTGGATTATAACACGTGCCACAAGATAGTAGAGAAGCTGGTCTGAAATGTTTGTAACCTAGTAGTAGTCTCACTATATATATATCTCACTCTCTTCTCCAAGATATACCACAACTAAAGTGATCTGCTGCGAGTACCACCGCTTTTGTAAGGACAACACCAAGCATCATGTGAGAGCTTCAAATACTCTCACTGATTACTTACTGAACACGCTTCAGCTCTCACTACTCGTGCTTTGACTATGTCTTGCTGTCCACGTGACTAGTATCTGGCCTCAAAAGTGTGTTTACTGTACCAGGACCGATTCAGTGCCTAGTACTCAGGTATGTCACGTCTACTGTCATACATCTAAGATACCTCAAGTTGGTTTATGGGGTCGAGATAAAGCTATTAGGGAAATGTTCAGGCAATATCCTCCGGTTCAGGCTTGCGCATAATTGGAATCAGGGGCTTCGGTGGCCATTCCCTAGTGTACTTCCTCCACTCGAAGGGGGCAGAGAAATGGTGATGTCCCGAACCCACCCAGAGATCATCTCCGTCTTCACGAGAACCAGCGGGCTGGGATAGCTTCTTGGGTGTCGGCAATACCACGCGCGCACGAGAATTAGGGGGTATCAACAGGTCCATATGGAAGAGGTCCGCGTCAATCTCGATCGACCACCGGCATTCCAGTCGCCCATAGGGAGTATCGTACATGGCTTCAGCCGAGTGAATCGTGGGCCCAGGAGTCGGAGCCACCTGGATCTGCTTCCAGCCCGGGGATAGAGGGCTGACGCCGGCCACAGTGGAGTGCAGCCAGTTGATGATGGAGCCCAGGGCGTAGTGATTGAAGCTGGTCATCTCGCCAGGATTGATGGTCCCGTCGGGGAGCATGCTGTCCCACCGCTCCCACATGGTCGTCGCTCCCATGGTGATGGGATACATCCACGACGGGCGATTTTTCTCCAGCAGCATCCGGTAGGCGATCTGGGGGTATCCGCTCTTGGTGAGAGCATGCGTTATGATCGGAGTGCCCGCAAACCCGGTGGCGACGCGAAACTTGGCCAGCCGCACGAGGTGGACGAGACGCGATGCCGCAGCCTGGGCTGCTTCGGGAGTGGAGTGGAGGTCGTACACGATGGCAAGGCTAAGTGCCGTTTGGGTATCACCGACCAGCAACCCAGTGGCTGTGATATACTTGGCCTGGAAGCTTGCCTTGAGTCGATCATAGTCCGCCTGGAATCGTGCGGCATTCTGGCTCTGGCCGAGGACCTGACTGACCTCGGACATCACAGACGTGATATGCACGAGATAGGCATCAGCGACGAGGGTTCCACTGGTGCGTGCATCCCCAGGTTCCTCGGGCGGCGCTGTTGGATCTAGCCAGTCTCCCAGTTGCCAAAGTTCAGGGTCCCAGAGTCCATCCGAACCACGACGGATTCCGCGATCGATCCAGGCGAGCATGCTCTCATATTGGCGGCGGAGGATGTCTTGGTCTCCATACGACCGGTAGAGGGCCCAGGGCGTCAGGATCACGACATCGTCCCACACGGCCTGCGGCGTATGCGGCCACAGGGTCTCGCTGATAACGTTAGGGACCGTAAATGGAGGCACGCAGCCATCCTTCTCCCTCAGCTGCTCGGCTGCAACATCCTGCAGCCAGTCGCTCAGCATGCCGGCAGTATTGTAGAGGAAGTTGGCCGATGGGCAGAAGACCTGAATATCCCCGGTCCAGCCGAGGCGTTCATCTCTCTGGGGACAGTCGGTGGGGATGGACAGGAAATTCCCCCGCATACTCCACCAAGCATTGGTGTGGAGTTGATTGATCATGGGGTGGGAGCAAGAAAACCATCCGCTGCGGGTCATATCAGTGTGCATCACGAGGGCCTTGATATTGAGGAGCAGTGATCCATCGATTTCCTCATCCCAACCATTGACCTGGACGTATCGAAACCCATGAAATGTATACTGTGGCGACCAATCTACGAGCTCTGTTCCATTCAGGATGACTTCATCGGTGCACTTGGCGTGTCGTAGCGGTCGAACCCCGAGCTCGCCATTCTCTAGTACTTCGGCGTGGATGAACGAGACGCGAGACCCAGAGGGCTTTTGCAATGAGCGCACGCGGAGTCGACCAACCAGGTTCTGACCGAAGTCAATGACGGTTGCACCGGAAGGGGTCTTCTGAACGGAGACTGGGGGAATCTCCTCGGTGATACGCACTGGAGGAGCGTCCGGTGCTACCAAGGCCGCGGTTGGGAAGTCAATTTCACGGACGGCTACCCAGCTAGAGGCCTGGTCAAGGCGCGCGCAGTTCCAGGTCGGATCTTCTTCACGAGCATCATAAGCCTCGCCGTCATACAGCTCACTGCGGACGATGGCACTGGAGGTACAAATCCAAGTGCTATCGGTACACATAGAGAATCGGTCTCCCTTGGGTCCGAGTTGAATTTCCACCTGGGCTAGTACGGCCAGCCGATCTCCATACAGCTGTCTTCGCCCACCAAGGAAGCCGAGGCGAGTGGCGTACCATCCCTCTGCAACCTCTACCGCGAGGACGTTGAGACCTCCAGCATTCAGGAGGGGTCCTACATCGAACACTTGATAGTTCAAGCGATGGCGGTAGCTAGTCCACCCGGGGGCGAGGCACTGATCTCCGACTCGATGACCGTTGACGAAAGCGCGGTATACCCCAAAGCTGGTGATATAGAGGCGGGCCTTGTCGACTGAACTCGCCGCAGGAAGTTGGAATTCCTTACGGAAACGCACCGGCCGCAATGGAGCTTCCGGCTGTGGTTCCTCCGGATTGGCAATAGTTCGGGCTACCCAGTCAGTGTGATCGAGTAGTCCGCACTCAATGACGCGCCAAGGAGACCAAGAGGTGGCTCCTTCGGCCTGTTGCTCCTCGCCGGCCCTGCACCCGTATGCCCGAACGCGGACCTGTGCGATTTCTCGGGATTGTAATGGATCACTGGGCCAAGGGACCAGCACCGATGCATTGCTCTTCACATAGTAGGTTTTAGCTGAGGATCCGGAGCGAGTAAGTTGCACTTCGTAGGCTGTCTGTTCCCAGTCACGCGGGCTACTGTCGGTGGTGAGGAATCGCCATGACAGACGCGGAGTAGCAGTTCCAATGCCAAAGCCGGTCAAGTGTTGCTCAACAGTGGGGGTTTCAATGAAGATTTGGCTGGCCATGGCCGCGGAAAGGGCAAAGAGAGGGGAAGTAAAATGGAAAGAGACGAAAGATACCCATATTTTCGGTCAGCTTCGAGATATTTATGCTTGATGCATACGTGCCAGAGTGTCGTATGCTGTCGCCTCTCGCGAGTCATTCCCACGAAATCCCGAAGGGCTCGGAGTACTAACCCCGCAGACTATGCCAATCCCCACCCAAACAACTAGAACATGGCTTCACGCCGCTCCCAATTACTTCAAGGCGTGTGTGAAGGAATGATTCCGAAGCATGATGGAGTTGTCATCGAGTAGAATGTTTTCCGTACGAGATTCGTCTCCTAATGCTCCCCACAATGAACCGATCTCGTGAGATCATTGGTGTCTAGGAAGATGAAAGACTAAACTGGCAGGACTAAAGATAGATTATATTAACTTCACGGAGTAGTTGAGCACAGTTTAGTCGAGTCACATGACCAGCACGTGTTGCTTTCTCTGGAGTGTCCATGTATGAAAGACAGAAGATATAATTATCGACTCTTCATTAAAATAATAGGCGTTGAAAAGCCAAAACTCAAAAGAACGTTCTGTCTCAGCAATCGCTCCAACCATAACATAAACCCATGCTCGCTATCTCCCGCAATGCACCAGGCTCCTGAACCCAACCAGTCCAAAAGTCCAAAGAGAAAGAAAGCTCATCGACTCATAAGCGTCCAATGGTCGTAGCTAGAACCAAGACAACGCTGCTAAGACAACACAGATTACAATATCTCTAAATCTTCGAATTCAACCACCAACCCCTCGTTCGCTGATGCTGCCGCCGACCCGGCCGCCCCCGGGCCATTGGCCATCGCCCACATCGTTCCGGTGCGAGGCAGACTATGCGGCCGACTAGCATAGACGCCCACGTGGACGAATTTGTCTTCTACCCCGTAGAAGAACCATGTTACTTCCCGCAGCTTCTTCCACGTGCTGCTCAAGGCCGCCGGGGTCATCGCATACGGCACTGCGGATGGATCCTGGTACCAGATCCAGAGCGAATGTCCGACTCGCTCTAATTTGATTCGCAATGAATGCATAGCTGATGGACCGCGACCGGGAACCGAGAGTGGTGAGAGACACCAGTCTGCGCCGTCGGAGGTTGCGCTTACCGACGATGCGTTCATCGTGCCCGAACAAAACTCCATCCCGGCCTTGACCCATTTACAGGGTCGTAACGGTTGAGGATATCCGGGGCGGCCCGGTCGTGGAGCACTGTCTGGCGAAAATGATTGAGGCGCAGCTCCAGCAAAGATCACCAAACCACCCTGGTCCCATTCCATTTCCCAGTCCGCCGTGACAGTGACCTCGGCAATTACAAATGGGCTCCGCAAGGAAGTAAACACGATAGGAGCCGTTGCAGTATCCCGGTTCGGCGGCTTACGCCAAAGGTCCGTATTAGGGCCGGCGGTGAGGGTGAAGTATTCCATGCATGGCGGTAGCGAGAATGTCGAGGGCAGATTCAGCGCCGTGAATGACGAACTGCTGGGGGGCATTTTCCCTTTCTCTCGATTCCTTCAACCACTGGAGTAATCACTAAAAGGCGTCCCTTGGTTCGTTGACGCGAAGTTTCCGTGCTACCGTGATAGACAAGTCACTCAAGGGCCCTTCTATCCTTACTTTAGGTTTGCACTTAGAAACTTTGGCGGACTGCTCGTGGGAGGGTAGTGAGCGATGCCCGCTGAGGCGGAAGGGAGGAAGATGAAAGAGAAAAGAAGCTTGCGGTGTGGGCAAGATTCAGTTCCGTTTCCACCCTGAAGCAAGGGATTCCCGACCTCTTGACGACGTGCTCAACTTCAACCTGCCGTTCTGGGCCCTGAGAAAAAGAAAGGTGAAGGCAGGGAAAAGGAGTCGGTAATCAATAAGCTAGTAGCATACCAAGGCTGGTCCGGGCGCCCAAGTAGTGTCTGGGGGAAAAAGCAAAAACACAAATGATTTAAAACCGCTAGACTATGTCAGAGTCAGTTTGAAAAGAGTCCTTAAAAAGAGATGCCCGGAGGGGGGTTTGGTAGGGCGAGAATGGGAGACGTACAGTTTAGCTGGCTGTGCGCTGAGACACACACGAACAGTACCAGAACAAAGACTTATAGCCAATCCAACGCGACTGGTGGTGATCTGACAGCATCTCAGCTAAGGTAAACAGCCTGTGGCGATGCCACCCGAAGGACCACTTTATAGAAGAGTCAGGGAACCAGCGTGCTAGCCCCAGGGTGATGGTCTGGGCAGAAAGAGCGATGTCCAACCAGACGAACCACGGCGCTGGAACGGGCGATCATTGCTCGACAGTATCCAGGAACCTGGGTGGCACGGCGAGCCGTGCTTGCATTTCTTTTCTTTGCTTTTCTGTGCCGTTCTCTCCTGGTTGCCCTTCGATTTCACTTATTTGGTTTTCTTTGCTTTCCCCTGCCTTGTGCATAGAGAAGAGATCCCGTCTTTGCAGGTTTGTTATTCCAACCTGGGCTCTGGAACCCGCCGTCCGATGCAGACCAGTTCAGGAGTGGCGGGTCATCCTGCAGCTTTGGGAGACAAACAGCCTGGGAGGACCACGCAAGTCTGAGTTGTGGGAGGGAGGGTCGCCTTGTTCAGGGCAGCTGAATGTCCAGCTCCCATCTGCACGAAATTTAAAAGCCCAAGCGGGTCAGTGGATTGGCTGTTAGAATTGAAGGGGGGAGGATGTCGTGGAAGAGCTGAAGCCGAAGTGGAGGGAAAGTTGGGTTGTGCGAACGAGAAGGATTTAAGACGGGCATTTGTTGCCACACCCACTCGGAGGCCGCGATGGTCAGCAACCACCGCTCATCTTATTTACTTGCTTTCTCTTCTGCCCGTCTTTTATGGCCAGTCAGCCATGATTCTATTTTGGCCTGCTTACTGCCGTCCGGGAGGCATACGCATGTGGCCCTTTCGGGTTGCTGATGGTTGTGCACATCGTCGCGCCCGTACCCTCGAAACATTGGTCATGGATCAAAGGGCTGCATCGCTGTCACCTAGTGCACCATCCTATGTACGAACATCTCCGAGGCCTGAAGAACTGCGGCCAGAAAATAAATGGTTAATATGCTTTCCTGCAGGTGCAGAGTGTTCATGGTTTCCGAAGTCAGCACACCGTCATTGGCCTTAGTTGGGGCTAAAGCATGGTGACTTGGAAATTACCCGTCGAACTATGACTTGTCACGATCCGAGGCGCCTGAGCGAAAAGGCGTGATCCTCTGGACGAGGCTGTTAGCTTCTTTCATATACCCTTTCCGGAGGCTAGCTTTATAAACCCACCTGCCCACTCTTTGGGCGCCAGTTGGTGTTGACAGGCGCCTAACATTTGATAAGAACACTGGACCTCCGCCTTATTTGGCACTCGATGACTCCTCCCAAGTGTGGATCGATTATACTGCCTGCAGTTCATTCGTCATGCCCGAGTCTTCTGGAACGCTACGGGTATATCTCAGTTATACAGATTGACCAATATTGCGATCCGCTTGTATTTACTGACGGGCTTTTCTTGCCGATGAAACTAAAAGCCGGACGGGATTTCACGCCGGCCAGATTTCAATATGGGACTTCGGACGTTGTGTCTAGACTCGCCTGTTTTCCATTGAAATAACTAGCAAGTGGACATATCGACTATTAGTCGCTGCTGTTCTTCAACCTCGTTCTTCTGGGATATCCATGGGCATCTTGTGTGTTCATTCAAGCATAGACACAAAGGGTACGCTTGGTAAGGTCAAGTCTGGCGTCTTCAGATGTATGGGCCTCTATTGCACACCCGTCAGGCTTTGCACATCCTCCCGGCGTATATGATCCAATGCAGTGATGTTCCAAATACAGTCTGGACTCACAACGTTCCGGACTGATATATGCAGGATGGGCGGGATGTATGAGGATACACCACCAGACCATCAAACTTTTGTGACTGATTTAAAGCAGACTGCAGCACCCTCTGCAGAGCATCTTGTACGATTCAATTATAGACAAGTAATACAATGCTGCATATCAGCGTGGTTGAGTAAGTTATCATGATGATTATTAACTCAACTATACACTGCTGCCGAATTATCGTATGACAGTATAGAATTGATCGGCTCAGAGTAGATACCAAGCAACCGGATAACCTCACCCAATACAACGACTTTTCCATGCAATAACGGATTATTATTCAGTACTTAGATAAATATAAGACTACTAATAATACCAAACCACAAAACCAACAACATCCACACACCGTAGCCATCAGGTATACACCATCCCAACTACGGCACCCCATACCCCACCACCACGCAAAACCCGGGTGCAGTTTAGCACCAATCAACTGGCGTCATCATCCCTCCAATACTCTCCACCCAGCCAGAACTATCACACCCATCCATCTGCTATCCATACTCCCATCATCCATACTATTTCCACAACTCCCCAAATTCTCATTATTCCCAATAATACCCCAGAGGATCAACAAAGAATAAATACCAAAAATGGTCTGCGCCAAATGCCAAAAGAAACTTAAACAAACGGAGCTCGCCACTCCCGGCGTGAAACGCAAAGCAGAAATGTACTATGGCTCACCATCCACAACGCTCGGCGGTAGTAGCAATAGCAGTGGTGCTGCTTCTGCCGGAGGGAAAGCCAAGTCTAGTACGTTGGGGAGTACGGGGGTTGGGAAGGTATATCCATCCATTTTATATTACTACTACTACTATATAACGTGATGATGATGAGGAGGATGCTAATAATGTATAGAGCAAACTCCTCAGCTCTAAAGCCAAGAATCCCTACGCGGCGTATGCTTCCTCCTGTGAGGTCTGCAAGACCAAGACGGAGCAGGGGAGGAAGTATTGTCAGCGGTGTGCGTATCAGAAGAATGGTTCGTCTTCTTTCTTTTATTTTCTTGTTGTTGTTTCGTATGTTTGGAGAGTCTTCTAGCTAACGCTGTGTAGCGTGTCCGATGTGCGGGAAGGGGTTGACAGGGAATGCGTCGAAGAATCAGCCTGCGATTTCGGGGCAGAAGTTTAATTTGAAGTAAAGTCATCAGTTAGCAGTCCTTTCGTTGAAGCTTCTAGATACCTACTTATGTCTATTACTACTATAACTGGGAAGAAATCTGCATGGCGTTCGGTTCGGGCTAGACTTAGGAACAAGAAAGGTCTTCATTGCGAATAGAAAGCGAAAAGAAAACAAAAAGCTAGTTATACATGACCGACGATGATATATGCAAGACTCAGACCTGCTGTACTACCTACCAAGGGCGAAATTCCCTTGGGGAAAAGAACAAGTCCGCGCGACAACAACTATCCATATCCATACACTACTACTCCATCACACCCAAGAAACACTGGTTTACCGATCAGCCAGCATGTTCTTGATGCTGGCGTAGTACTGCGGCCGCACGAACTTGGAAATCTCATCCTTCGACAGCCACTTGAAGTCGGTCAGGTTCTGAGCGTTTCCGGAAAGATCGGCCTGGCCGGCCATGATGCGCGACTTCATGAAGAAGACCTTCTCGCCTGCGGGGCCGGTTGCCAGCTTGTTCGGGTTGCGGAAGTTGTAGACGTAGTGTCCCACGGGGTGGTATCCAACCATCCAGGTGTTCATGTTGACACCGGCGGCTTGCTCAAGGGTACGTTCGGCGGCCTATTTTCAAATAACGTTAGCGCTGCTGCCGCTGGTGAAACACTTGACGAGAAGAGCCAGCGGAACTTACCTGACGGAGAGTCTCTTCAGCCACGATGGGAGAGCTGGGAAACGTCCAGAATCCCTCCTTGGACTGCACAAGGAGATAAAGAGTCCTCTGCAGTGCCCGGTTGAGGCTTCTCTGGTCGTTCTTCTGGTCCGCCTCCGTCACCCGGGGGAAAGGTCTCGGAATCTCTTCCTTCTTGCTAGTATCCTGGGAAGTGGCATTGACCGTCGACTCCGCATCCTGCACAAGCATTTCCACCTGGTGGGCCGGGTCCGACTCGACGGCTCCAACGAGGAGTTCATCGTTCCATGCCTCCTTCGAGTACGGGTTGTACTTGCCGATGTCGCGTGCGGGGGTCTGACGCTCGCGGATCTTGCGCTTCCAGTCCTCGTCGGCGGGCGTTCCACGCTTGAAGTAGAAGTATTTCGTGAAAGGCAACTGGAGACGCTCGTTCAGTCGCTTCTGGTAGAAATAGTACGCCTTCTCGAAATCGGTAAGGTCGCGGGTGATTTGAGGGGGACGGGAGAGGACCACGCCGGCCTTGATGGTATGGGTGGGCTTCACAACGGGGAAGGTTGATGCGGCGGTGGAGGAAGTTTCTGAGGAAGCCTGTGTAGAGGCTGTGGCGTAACTGCGGCGGACAAGCGTTTCTTGACAGCTTCTGCACACTCTGGGATCGGAGATCGCAGGCCCTGGGGGAGTCAGTACGGACACGCATTGGTTTTCAATTTCGGATTGACAAGCACATACGCAAAAGCGACGCTACGCGCCTGGCACCATTGGACCCTGACGACATCTCCAAATGTGTTGGTTATATGCTGGGGTGCTTGTCAACAGGTCCGGAGGCCGACAATATAGCGAGAAAAGTTGGCGGTCACCTGCGAGGGAGCGTCGGGACGGAGCTAAGCCCGACCAGGCTAGTAGGTCATGTGACCCAATATTCCGCTCCGTTTAAATTCTCGGCAGTGCGGACCATTTCTGTTCTTTTCCTTCTTTACGGCACCTTTCCTTATCATCACTGCGTTGAGTTACCACGACCAGTCGATCATTTTCCGGTGCTCAGAGCACTTTTGCGGCCATTTTTCGCTAGCGGTACCTTCTCAAATCAAGGCGTACTGTTAGATAGACGCTGCATACATTTCTTCATACGGCTTCGCCTATGGAGACTATAGCTGTTGCTATTAAATCATGCAAACTAGGTATTCTGGTATCTAGGAGCTACTTTTATCGTAATCATGGATTGTAGTGAGTGGCCCACGCTCATTAGGCGACTCGTAATGCAGTGTGCTGGCTGGCTTTTAGGAGGGCCTAGCCAATGTGACATACCCTTTCATTCGTGCCAAAGACGCGCAGCTTGTTTCCATAAATGTTCCAAAATTGCGCGCCTAAGCGTGGAATCAACCGGCCCTCGTCGGCTTTCTTCTGTGTCTCAGGAGAGTCGCGGGGTGTTAAGGATATTCTGGTTACCTCGCCAGCATCACTACCGCCGTTGTCTTGGACGACTTTTTCAACTTCGATAGAGCCGAACATAATACGGACGTTGTTTGACTTGGGACCTCTAGGTAGAATGACGGTAGCCTCGAAGTCGCCTATAACCTGCTTCGTGGGCTCCTTCGACTTTTCACTGGGTTGAGGTGTTTCTGGAACTGTTGGCGGAATCCCCGACGTTCCCCTGTCTCGGAGCTGGGCAGAAAGTTTAATGAAAACCTGAGCAGTGAGCAAACTATCAAAGCCAGCTTCGTGATCGATTGCCCGCGTGTTGTATTTGGTAAATTGAGGGTGTATACCTGATCGACGTTAGTGAGGAACGACAATATTGCTATCGACCTACTTATTGCTGGTGTTGGCTGTTTAGCGAGGCTGTCATTGATTTCCTGCAGGGAAGACCTAGGATTTATGGAGCCACAGTTGTGTGTAGCCATATACTTCGTATCCATCAACACCGGAAACATCTCATGAGCCATGGCTTGGAAATCCTCCACACGGTCCGGGAGAGGCCCGAAGAAGCACCGACAAAAGTAAATTAGGTCCGTGAAGAGGTTATGGCCCACCAGAACAGGTCTGTTCTTCTGCAACCGCTGCTTCACCCCCCGCGAGAAGTCCTGAAGAGAACTTTGGGGGTTCTCCTTCGAAGACGACATCAAATTGATGAAGCAGAAAGGCTCGAGGTTGGTCAGATCGCCCCCGGCTAGCGCCTCCGCGATCCATCTGAATCCAGTCTGTTTCCAGATCCTTTCTTGTACCCATTTCACCCTCTGGTCGCGAACAGCCTTCTCGCGCTGTTCGTCGTAGTCGATTATCTGTATAAACCCCGGCCTACTGACCGTCACCAAAGACGGATACTCCACTTCGATGAGCTGATGAACAAGCCTCTTTTGAAACCTATTGAGGTCCGTTGGCATAGACTTGGGGTGATTGGATGGAGCAGGTCCTGTTATAGGCCGAGGTGGCGGGATATTAAGGTAATCCTCCCGGGCCTGGTAACAACGGTTAGAAAAGCAGTACTAGAGAGGACCAAAACTCCTACTTTACCAAGCGCCAGCCATTCATCTACAAGACGGCGAACATCCTTTAAAAAGGCTAAGGACTCATATTCATGGTCCCCGACGTCCAGAGAACTGCGCGCTGTCGTGCGTTCATTTCTCTGCATGACTCTGGCCATTATTCGACTTTCCTCATCTCTCGACAAGTAGGTGACGCCATTCTTGTACAGATCTTCCATGCTAAACTTGTTTTCCAAGAGGAACTCGACGGCTAAGTAGATCTTATTAGGTTAACGGGACGAGGGCAGCTTTGAAACGAGCATACCACTGCTTTGGAAGGAACAATTTCTGTCTAAATCAAGCTTCCGGTCGATGATTGGGCTCAAGTATAGATTATATGGTTTCAAGGTGTACGTTGCTGTGATTGCGCTATTAACACATCAACCTGAAGTGGTGGACATGTGTGTCTAACCTGTCTCTGGATCCTCATGGCAGATAGTCAAGCCGACTTGTAGGATTTGGTATTGATCAGCGGAATTCTTGACTTCTTCATAGCGCTCCTGTAGGGTGCTTCTGCTCTTAGCAGAGGGTCCGAGGCCTTTGGCGATGCCAGAGAATTCAAAGTCTATAGATACGAAACAACAGGATGCCAAGTCATCCAACACTCTGGGTAGATGGTAGAAGAATGTCTGGGCGGATATATCCATGGTCTTCAGCAGTTCAACGATGCAGTCGCACCGTACAAAGGAGAGACAGTATATGTGAAAGCCCGCAGAGCGGAAGTCAAGGCAGATACAAGGGATGCGTTTCTGGCTGTTGTGTTAATGGATGTGTAAACCAGGACGGAATAGTAGCTAGTGGATCAGCCGAAACAAAGAGTACTGTGAGATTCCCCAGTCAGAAGCTTGTCATAAGAGTCGGAAGTTTCTAGACCCGGTTGCATTGCATTGCCAGAGAAGAAACAGCCAAGCCGAAAGCGATGAATTCAAGAAGTCATGAATGGATGAATGATGGAGAGGGGAAGATCGTCACTGGATTCCCGCGACTGGAGCTGTGCCTGGGCGCCTCAGGCGTGGAGTGTCTATTTTGGGGAGTTTCCGACAGCGGCGTCCCGTGACATCAGACCCCAGACTCTCGGCCAGCGAAACGCATGAGCCGAGGTGATGCTGAAACTCCTCCAGTCCAAGCATTGTACTTAGCCCAACTTAGTGTCACTCTGTTCCCTCGACCGTCCCAACCACCCAGAGCTCGATTCGATCGCATCCCTCTATCCCTCGTGCATTTTCTGCATTTATTGATAGCCGCGCACGTTCCATTCGATTTCCCTTCTTTGATTCCTCTTTCCGATCCGTCGCATTTTCCGCTGGCGGTGAACAATGGCCGACGATGGCTCCTACATGTCGGCGTCCCAGTCGCAACTCCTCTCCTCGTCCACATCCTTATTGTCTCCCTCCAAACTTTGCTCAAAAACATATAAGAAGGCGTCAAATCTCTATCTAACACTACGGTTACAAGAAGCACTTTCAGCCCTTGAGCCTGCGATCACAGTGGTCAGGGGATCCGACGAGCAGCTCGTCAATGGCGATGATTCTGTCGCGCCCGTTGCTTCAGCCCAGCCGACCTGGCGGATCAAAGTGTGGAATCTCTACATTACACTCTTGAGCCAAATCATCGAATTGGGCCCTGAGGAGGGAAAGAAATTGTTTGGACAGAAAGAATGGAAGGCCATCTCGACCACTGTTCGCGATGGTGAGATCTGGGAGACCGTTGTACGGACGGGGTATAGAGGTTTGGAGGGATCAGTGGATGCAGAAGTCGTCCATAACCTGTTAGTCTCCACGCCGGGTTGTTAATTGCTTTACTGACAAAGGCCTTCTTTGCAGGGCAACTCTCTTGTTGAAACATTCGCCATCACAAAAGCTCAACCAACAACGACTTGAGACGTACCTTTCGTCATACGGACAACCTAATCTGGATATTTCAGACCATCTGACTAGTGGCTCATCTACACCACGTGCAAACGGTGGTACCGATACCCCGAAAGATCTAGCTGCTAGGGTCAAGATAATCGAGCTGTTCACCCTACATGTTCTTCCCGCAAACGAAGAATGGGAGTATGCGCAGGAATTCATCAACCTGAGCGAAGTCCTCGATGAGGACCGGAAGGAGTTATTTCTACAGACGCTAGAAGGCCTGAAGGAAGAGAAACAGCAAGGGGAGCTGCGCGCCGCTGCCCTCCAGCGGGAAAAGGATGCCGAGCTAGAAAGACAAGCTCGAGAGGCAGAACGTCGCAGGGCGGAGGAAGCTGAGGCTGCTGAGCGTGCACAGAGAGGACATGGACGCAGCGGCAGTGAGGTGGATTACGGGATTGAGAAGACCTATCCCAATGGCAGCATGAAGGGCAAAGGGAAGTTTGCAGAGAAGCAATCCAGCAAACCAGGTACCTCCGCAGGTCGGACGGCCTTTTCGCCCCCTGGCTCCAAGAACATCAAGAAGACTGAGAAGCCCGAAGCGCGGGCTAAGCAATCACGAGCACTGGTCAACGTGGTGCGCAATATCCTGCGATACGTCAGCAAGAGCATTGCAGGCAACCCACTATCATTCGCGCGGACGCTTCTGTTTATGCTCGGCATTATAGCCGCATTAAGCCGACAAGACGTGCGGGAGCGCATCCGGAGGATAACAGGCTCCGGTTGGCAGAAAATCAAGGGGACGGTTGGGATGGGAGTGAAAGTGAGCTATATTTGATGAGCAATAAATTCTGCACTCTTTTCCCTTGTCTATATGATTCTTCAGATATCAACTGGGGCTTTCCATTTCCCCTGTTTCTCAACTGCGTGATTGCGGCACGCAGGTTGCCTTTATGTTATATACGATTCCATTTCTATTGTAAACTCTATGTGCTGAATGCTTGTCTATCCTGTATTACGATTAATTATTATGCTCCTGGGACAGACTCACATCTGCCCCTTTGCTCTGATTATCCAGATTCCTCCCATCAGACCCTGAACCGTCCAACTTCTCCTCATTTTCATTTGCATTTCCCTCTCCATCACACTCCACATCACTTACGCTGGCACTCTTCCTCTCAACCCGCCGATGCCACCACTTGAACATATGCACAAAGAAATGCGCCACACAAATCTGCTCCGTGGTATACAGCAGCACAGGCACCGACGTCTTCGACTTGATATACAGACTCAACGGACCCCACATGGCATAAAGCAGCGGAATGCCCAGTGCAGTACTCTTCGCCGGACCGCAGAAACAGACGGCAATAGTCTCCTGAGGATTCATCTGCTGGAAGGGATAAAATGTCTTCCCTTTCACCGTAAACGACACACCAGAGATGATCCTCGGCGGGCGAGAACAATAGAAGCAAACAGCCGTAAGGAACATATACAGCGCAATATTGAACAGAACCACGAAGACANTACTAGAAGCGGAAAGAGTCTGGAGCGCTCCTGTCGCGAAGCAAGAAGAGAAGGTTGACCTATACCCATTCATGTAAGTTTTGCTGTCTCAACAAGTATACGGGTCCAAGTCAAACAACTCACCAAACCAACAGAATCAAGCACGCGGTGCTTATCTTCGCAATGCGATACTTAGCCAACACTTTGCCCACGATGTCCGGCCAAACCCAGCGTATCAACTGACCCACCACCAACGGCAACAAGACCGCCAGACCCAACTGCTTAAACACATCGCGGTACATATCAGAGAGATCCCCATCCCCCGACCTCCAGACATCAAACTCCGACGACTTTGGAAGCAAAGTAACCGTCCACCCAGCGGTGATGAACGGGCCCAGGAAATTCGCAATAATGACTTCCACCAGCGCGGCGGCATCGTCACCGCCCGCCGAGCGAGTCATGACGACATTCGAAGCGATAGTGGTAGGAATACAGGCCAGGAAGATATACCCGGCCAGCAAGGCGCGATCAATATGTTCGTCTGGATCACCGGCTAAGATGATATGCACGATAGCGAGGATAAAGGCCGGTATGACGAGGAACGATAGACCCTGGGCAAGAACATGCAGTCGCCAGTTGAGGAGGTGAATAATGAGCTTTTCTCGAGGCACGCTGAGACCCGAGATCAAGAAAATGAGGGCCATTGCGCCGTAGAGAATGCTATATTCGGAGCGGATGATGCCGCCGCTCTTGGCGACGTTGGGGAAATAGTAGGCCAAGACGCAGGCGACTCCGATGCCGATGAGGAGCCATTGGTGGAGGATGAAGAGGGCGATGGTTTTGAAGGTTTGTGTTATGCCCCTGGTGGATGTGGGGTCATGGTTGGGTATAGACATATCTTTTTTCGCTAGGTGTTCAGCTCATATGGACTGGTTGTCGAAAATAGGAAATTTTCATGTCTTGGCTTCAACGTTAGGAAAGCGATCTCTATTCTCCAAAATGAGAAAGATAATCCAGAATTGTACATACCAACATTGTCGCGTGGTGGAATGCAAAAAAGAAGGGTAAAAATGGACACTCGGATCAGGTCCGAGCTGGGGCTGATAAACTGATAGGCTGAACGATTGTCCATTTTATCGGTTGCTTGACGCGATCCGGAGTTTAGACCACTATCAATAGTGCGGTGCAGCGTAGCCTATAAGATAGAGTAATTTTAAAAGAATGTATTCAACTAGTAGTTATTTAACTAATGATTATTATGAGGAAACACAACATCTAAACTATCTAGCGAAGGTGATCAGTGTCGAAGCATAGTGGGGTTTTCCACAGGCTTATTGGGATTAAAGATATCGGTTCATCCTTGGCAAAGGTTTCCACAGTTTGCCAGTCACACTATTCGCCTCATAACTACTGCTAGCAAGCCAACCGATCTATACAACCTGCTGTAGATGTTATTATAAGTCTCTCAGAGATTCTACCGGAGTACATCCGCGATAGATTACTAACTTGTCCCAGTCCTATAGATCTAAAGTAGTATAGCAAGTATAGCACACTATTTCCCGCACTCTACTCCGTACAATCCAAGCTCAAGACTTCATCGGAGAATAATGGATTCCATATCCCTACAGTCATATACATTAAGTGTACCACTATGTGACCATGCCCTCTCTACTCCGACACTGCACGTACAATGTCTCTCCGAGGGACGAGCCCACACCACCATCATTTATGCACAAGACTCTAGATATGACTGAAGTAGCAGAACAAAATAGGGACTATAACAAAATAC